TGGTGCTTTGGGAGCCGCGGGGGCCCGCATTACACGGTGGGGCAGCAGTGCTGGTGGGGCGGCTGCGGGCGGGGGGCATGGCATGTAAGCATAATCACAATATAAAATGTTATTGTTATTGTTACAAATGTTTTTTATTGTGCATTTATCATATTATAGTGTATTTTGTATTATTGTTGCAATGAATAAAATGTTTCTTTTATTTATTTATTTTTTTTTCTTTAATTTATTTGTGTCCTCCTTTTCATTGTAAAAAAGTTGGTCACCTTAATATATTGAAAGACACCAGTATCAGCTCTAACCCTAATGCTCTTTTCTGATATTATTATGTCATCTAATTCAAACAATATTACTCTCTCAAGACAGCAAGCATTTCCTGTTTAACCGACAATGCTCTACATCAGTTTAGAGGAAGAAATCACTGTACTGTTTCTATTTTCCATAATAATTCAATTGTACTGCTTTTGGGATTTTATTCAGTAAACATTGTCAATGACCACAGTTAAGATGTACAGCTAAGCTACCATAAAGTTTCTTTCTTGTGTCAAATTTGATTCTGTGATTATCCGTAATCTATGCTCACCTCCCTCCATAGAGCGAATTATACTTAATGGAAAGGATAATTCCAAAGGAGACAATACAACATAAAACCTTATCCTGCTATGAGCAGCCTTTTTCAATTTAGTCAATGAGGCTTAACATCACACAGAAAGGGGGAAACACTAAACATTTCCCAGCAGTACAGACAGCATTAGTAACATACCCCTACTTAGAGAATCTTATACATAAAAATTTATAAGGCTGTGTAAATTCAGGCTTCTGCATAAGCCATGGAACAAATGGGGTAATTCTGTGATTATGTGTAATCTATGATTGCACAATTTTTAAGGTGGCCTTTTAAAAAGTCTTGTCCAATAATCACATTATTTCTCATCGTGTAGCCTCATTTTTCATTATGATGAACCTTTGACTTGCTAAGGCAGATATCTTTAAGTAGACAATCTGCATGGTTGAAGCAAACACTCCTCTCCAGTTGAGAATGTGGTGTTTGGGTTCTACATTACAACACAAAAAGCATCTCCCTGTAGTCTATTAAAGAAGAAGAAGCATAAACCAGATCCTAAGAAATTGAATACTTTCTGATTTTTTTAAAAAAATATGGATTAGATATTAAATTTATTGCATATGAAAAAAGAGCTATTAATTAAATTAAAATTAAATGCTATTTCAACATTGTGGAAATGATACAATCTCATAAGAATGAATAAAAGGCTGTATTATGTATATGCACACTGTGCAACCTACCAGCATGGACTCCTTTTTCAGTATTGCATCTTGTGAAAATCATTCGCTTTTGGAAATCCCCAATTGTTATTTTTATTAAAATAAGACAACAAATACACAGGCTTACTGAGATAGCTGTAATGCTAAAGATTATATAAATATGTTGCATTGTGTTCTAAGTGAATGTGTTTTAGTAATCAGAATCTCTCTTTAAATCGTTATCAGTGGAAAAGATCATATCAGTGAGTTAAATCATATCAGTGAGTTAAATCAGCATTTTTGCTTGGTGAGTTATTAGAGCTTTTACTCTTAAACTACCATTTCTGTTTCTTAGAAATGGGTTTAAGTCTTATTTTCAGAATATGGTCAACACAGTTGTTATCAGGGTTATACCTCATTTAGGCCCAAATTACAAAATTAAGAGATGTATTCCTGCAAACTGTATATACAGTACTCACTTATTTCTATGTGATTACAAAAGATTCAAACACCTGCAATTCTTTATAGTTTTTCAATCTATAACAAATTAGAAATTATTTTGCTAATTTTTAAAAATGCATTGGATTTCCAGAGGTAGAATTTTTTTTAAAAATGTGTACATTTTGAAACAATCAATTAATTTTTAAATATGTTAATGAGATCTGCTTTTATTACATCTTTATTTTGGATTACAGTGTATACTCTGAAGAGTAAACCAATATTTTTTGTTTGAAAGTAACCATTGTCATTTCACAGAAAACATTCAAAACTGAAAAACAACATGTCTTTTTTTAGCAGATGGATAGTATTGGGCAATATGTCAAATTCTATTAAGTAGGCTCACAAATGTTTGGTATCCTTATTAAATGCTGATAACAGCACTTTCGAAGCATGCTTCCATATCACAAATAAAGTATTGTGGGCTTTGCTAAATACAAAAACCAACATTTAATTTGAAAAGCACATATGCATACAGAATATACTATAAAACATCAGCTGTATTCTGACACTTCAAAATATACTACATGTGTAAAATGAAAGACTTCAAATTCCATTCAGTTTTGTCATAATCCTTCTTTGCTCCACATTCTGTATATCAGCCACATCTTTTGAATTTTATATGCTAGATTTATATCCTCACTGACTGCAGGAGCTCAAGGCTCAATATCTCCCTTCATTTTATCCCATAACAAAATATGATGTGGGTTAGGCAATCACTGAAGGGACAGGGAAAGAAAAAAAATTGATTTCTATTCTCATTTCCAAACCCTCAAACTCATCTGAAGTTTCAGCCCTTTGATTTAGGCTAGTTCCTTTGCATGCCAAGTAAAATACAATAGAATAATGCCTATTCTGCATAAGTTATATTGGCTGCCAACTGGCTTCCAAATCACATTCAAAGTTAATGCCTTATAGAGTCCTATGTGGTATAGCAGGGGTCCCCAATCCGCAGGCTGCGGCCCACTGCCAGGCCATGGGCGGTTTGGAAGTGGGTGGTTTGGAAATGGATGGTTTGGCCGGTGCATGTGCACACGCAGCTCAAGTCACGAGAGGTGGGCCGGCGCACACAGCTCAAGTCACATGAGCAGTGGACCGGCATGCATATGCATGAACACATCAGCCCATTGCTTGCACGGGCCAGTTTCCCTCTACACCCTCCCCCCAGGCCACCAAGCCATAAAGATTGGGGACCGCTGTGGTATAGGGTCTCCTTATCTTTATGAACCACATGCTTCAGATGAAATCTGCTCACCCAATGAGGTTTAGCTGAGAGGGGATCCTATGTATACCTATTTCTTGAGTATGAGGTCCATATAGTTTTATTACTGCAATCTACCTAGAATCTCTTGAACATGTAACATACACATTATCATAAACAAACACACACACACACACACACACACACTTTTTATATATATAAAAAGTTGAATACATTTATAAATCCCACCTAACAATATCTGCACATAATAAAACCCACTGGAAGAACGGAATTCTTAAGCAATTTCCAGCTCAGTTTTACTTATAGACAACTGTCTCCATTGCAGATATCATTGGCAGGTCTGCATTCTGAAATTTTAACACTGTTTATTTTTCATTTTGATATATAAGATATAAGCACTAAAGAGGAGAACTGGATTTACAAGCTAAACATATGAAACTCTGGAGCCTGTCCAAACAAAATAATCCCTGGGTGTTGATGTCCATTTAATAAAAATTCAATGTTGTAATTATCTTCCTACTACTTCCCCAAAGAGTATTAGTACTCATAACCATATTTCTCATCCAATTATTTTAATGCTGCAAAAAGACAGATAGGGACAGTGGCCAATTGCTGCATCAGATCACTGCCTTCTGATAGATTTTTTTTTTTAAATAGCCTTTTTTCACAAGTTAAAAAAAATGCAAACAGTGCGCTTAAGATAGAAAATAGCAATACTCCTTTCCAAAATAAAGAGCATCATGGGATAAACCAGTAATAACTTTAATTAAATTAAGAAGTAAATGCTGCCTTCCTCTTTGTTTCCAAATAACAGTCAGGTTACTGTCTTTTAAAATCCATCATTTGCCATTGCACTATTAAGAAACACCAAAATAATTTTCTTGCCACTGTTTAGTGAAGCTACCCATCTCCCACAAAATTGTCACCTTTACTGCTATACTCTTAGCCAGGGGTTGTCAAACTGCCGGCCCACGGGCCGGTTTCATCATACCGCAGCCGCGCCCACCCCATTGCCGGCAATGGCAAAAAAACTCCGATATGTCGTGCGACGTCACGTGACGTCGCGAGTTTGACATGCCTGCTCTTAGCAATCTAAACCTCAAGCAACTTTGTACGGTAAGAGATTTATGAATCACATGAAGTCAACAAAACTGTGAATGCACAGCTAATTACTGAATATTCCATGCCAATGCAATAAATATGCCTGCCTGCCTGGATCATTATTTTCCATCTTTACCACATTTAGCCCTACGCAGAGACAGTGCTCTTTTTTCAAAAAATAAAAAAAATAAAAAATAACAACCCTTGCACTTGTGAACAGCACAGTCTTCAATAAACAGCTTAATCAGAGATTTACCAACGTACTCTAATCTTTTGATAGCTTTCATCCATTCTGCCATTTCAAAAACACAAATGGCTTTATCCAGGCTATCATATGATGAAAATGTAAGTACAGTAATTGACCTTCTTGAGATAATGGGAAAGAAAAAATTGACATCAACTGCAAAACTCTAACCTTAGATTAAAATGAAACCACACAATCTACATCCTTCTTGTTAGAAATAAGAAAACCTATCCCTGCTGTTTGAGCTGGAGGAAGAAAGAAGGATGCTGTAATGCATACACATGTAAAGCCTATACAACTTTTTATGTCTTCCAACAACTTTATTGTAAATTTCAACAGTTGTTGTGCTGACCAACAGTATATTCATTTCAATCAATCTGCCCTCTTCAGTATTATTATTTATGATGAAAAAAAATGATTAGCAGCAGAAGGCTTATGAAAAAATGAACAAATGAAAAAGTTCACAAATCCAGAGAATGCATTTGATGAATAATATATCCTCTTTTTAAATGGATACGTTCATCACTGACAAAAGAAAATTAAATCTAAAAAGAAAACTAATAAATCACAAATTTCCCAATCCTAAATGAAAGATATGCTGAGAGAGATGTTGTGGACTAAGTATCACTTTACAGAATAAAAAGCACAGAATCAGAAAGAAACGTAACAAACCTGTTGCTGTGGATATTGCATTCCTCCCATGGAAGCAGGAGTTCGGCTCTGCATTCCCATTGGGAAACGCTGGGGTCCTGGTGGTCCATATGACTGCCCTGGAAATGGACTGCCGGGCTGGGACTGGGCATGGGGGTTGTTGCCAACTGCAAACAACTGAGGTCTTTTCATTACCATTGGATCCATTGGGTTGCCCTATGGATTAGAGGAGGAAAATGATAAAAGCACATTTTAATTCATGCACGAATAATTTTGAAAATCACTTGGTGCACTTTCAAACAGTCTTCATTCTGAAATGAAATCTACTAACATATATAAAAAAAGTTTAATTTTTAAATTTCAGTTTAGGTTCAAGCATTATATAACTTAGTCCCAGAGAGAAACATGTTTATGTAAGTTCTAACTACACAAGGATGAAACTCCTTAAGGATGCATTGTTGGCAATGGGAAAATCTTACCAGACAATAATTCATATAAATAATCTAATTGTTCCATCTTTACCTTTGTTCATAGGGTTTTCTTTCATTTTCTATTACAAATCAATAAGCAAATCATACAATATAGTTCACCTCAAAAGTTTTGATTTTTGTTTTGAGTTCAGAAAATAACGATAATATCCTAGTTTTTGTTGGTGGCACATATAATACAGTTACAGCAAATCACTACTTCCTTTTTTATTTTATTTTTATTTATATATCTCACACAGCAACTCTGGGCAGCTCACAATGGGTAAAAGCAATGCAAAGCATGGTGCAATATGCAGTAACATACATATCAGCTAATAATACTCAATATGTAGTAAGTGGTACAAATATTTTTAAAGTTTTCACATCTCACAAAAAGTGAATGACAATATTCCTTTCTATAGACAATTAAATTATCCACAGTGTTTCTTAAACTGAGGAATGGGCTGTTTGTCTTTTTTTGTATGGAATTTTGTAATTCAGCAAAAGTCAATATGTCTAGAGGAGAGTATGCATATCCACATACTCATATAGATTCATATCGACAAACTCTATTTTTATCATTACTATAGCTATTTTTAATAGCAATGGATTTATAATTTAATGTGACTTTTAAGTAGATCACAATTTTCTTTTATATGCTTTTTGTTGCAGAGGTCTTTCAGCATAAACAAATATTCAAAAACTGATTTTCTTGTTTCTAATCAGTGTTGCTATCTGAAACTTATTTAGTACACTTCAATATTGAATTCTTTCAGGATTTAAGTTACCAATACAATTATGATGTGCTATTTTTCCTTGGACCATTGATTTCTGACTACACCTGGATGCAATCCATACCATTTAATGTGCACCACTAACATTATGCTTTAATCATCTTGGATAGATACAACTCCAGGTACTTTCGTGCAGATCATTGGCTGCCCCTTTGTTCTGTCCTTCACATCGTTGATTCCCATTAGCAATAGGACTTAGACTTATATACCGCTTCATAACGGTCTTCTCTAAGCAGCTTACAGAGTCAGCATATTGCCCCCAACAATCTGAGTCTTCATTTTACCAACCTTGGAAGAATGGAAGACTGAGCCAACCTTAAACTGGTCAGGATCAAACTCCTGGCAGTGGGCAGAGTCACGTGCAACAATGCACTCTAACCACTGCATCACCATTATGTCTTATTATGTCTTATTTGGATTTATAGTGGTGGCTTTCCAAAGCAGCCAGAATTTAAAAATTAAAGTTGACAATTTCATATCCATCTTGATTATCCACTATAGTTTATTGGCTCTCATGAAACAGGAATTTAAATTAATCATATATTATTACTTCGTTAGGAATTGGATTCAGATGTATGGGACTTGCACATACTCCTAATAGTAATCTAAATTTAATCATTCAAACATAGTTTTGCTTTCTTGTCCTCCTTAGTTTCATCTATGTTTTCAATATTAATTTGATTCAAACTATATATTTACCTGGGTTATTTAAATTAATTCATGCTACAGTGACATAACTATAGTCCAATACCCAATAAGAAAATGGTTACTGGCATGTTAAGAATGTGATTAAATCTTACTAGTATAGTGCAGTTCACCTTAAAAATACAAAATAAGAGTCTACAAAATAATGAGCAACCAAAATTATAATAGATAGTAATTATTGCAACATTTTTCAAAGACTCTATCACAAATTAATTATAAAAATTGCAACAGCTAAATGTGCATAAACATCAACACGTATGTGCTAGGAAAATATACTCCTCAGAAGAGACGTGCACTTATATATGAACAATTCCCTTTATTGAGACCCAGTCTGATGTAGTGATTAAGGCACCAGGCTAGAAACCAGGAAACCATGGGTTCTGATCCCACCTAGGCATAAAGCCATCTTGGTGACCTTGGGCCAGTCACTGTCTCTCAGCCCCAGGATGAAGGCAATGCCAAACAATTTCTGACATCTTGCCAAGAAAACTGCACGGATTTGTCCAGGCAATGCCGAGAAGCCAAAACTAACTTGAAGGCAGAAAAAAAACAAAATTACCACCACATCTGTACTCCTAGTGAATGCTGGGTTAGACTCATGAGTTAAAGCTAAAGTTCTGCAAATGGTTCCTATTTACGTAATGGACTTTTCTCCCTGCAAAATGCTAGTACAAATTCTCTGCAGATCTCTAGAGATGCAATTATGGGACTTCACAGAGTAGAGAGGATGTCATCAGTGATACATGTTTGGACTCTGGATGAACAATGTTTCTCTAGTTCTTGACACTGCATTTTAAAAAGTATTGAAACTGGAGCAGATTCAGAGAAGGGAAACAAAAACAACGTGTTAGAAACTGAAGTCCTATGAAAAGAGACTGGATGAAATATGAATATTTAGCTTTGACAGCAGAAGACTGAGAGGAAATACGACACCACCTTTCAAATACATGAAAGAACATCACATAGCTCAAGGTCAGGATCTGTTCTTCACTTTGTGTGCAGAACATGAAATAATGGATTAAAGTTAAAAGAAGGCAGATCTTATTTGAATTAAAAAAAAACACCACCACCACCAATTACCAAGAGAAGAGTTGGGCTTCCCTTCACTGGATGTGTTCGAATGACAGAAAACCCAGGAAAAAATTACATTGGTTTGCTGAACTGAGCCGTGGGCTTGACTTGATGACCTAACTTGCTTCCAACTCCAATGATTACGCCACACTACATGGCCATAATAGCAATGAGGAGGTTTTGCCATATTTCTCCTGGGAGCTTTAGAATTGTGGCGCAGTGGAGAGAAGTACATCTTAAAATATTAAACAGAAATATATATCTTTCCTTAGTTTAAATTGATGGCCTTTATAAAATAAAGCAATGAAATTAAATGTCACTTCCTCAAGTTGCATGTTATACATTTATTCCAATCTTATTTTTAGGCTTCTGGGATTGGGGTATCAACCATTCACAGGTAATTTATTATCTTTGGATAAATCTGTTATGAGCATAGAGCAAACAAATCACAATCAACATCTCCCATCCCTTTTTAATGAACTACCCACAAGTTGACTTTTTGCAGTGCCATTGCGAGGGCACACAGAGATTAAAATAACATTTAAACCCAATTACTCACATTTATCCCACCTGATGGCTGAGAGAATTCTACAACTGAGAAGAACTAATTACAATACTTGGTTTCCTTGTTGTCTATAATATTATTGCATTATTTAAGAGTAAGTTATAGTATCTTGCACTTGTTCCTCTATTTGTGTCCGTACTTCTAGTTTATTTTTAATCCTGACTTTTTGTCACCTTGAACCCATCACATCAAAATCTTCTTGAAATCAATATAAAGAACCTTCGTCCATAAAGGAACAATTATTCTATTTTTTATGATTAAATCTGAAAGTTTTATTCTGGATTTCTTGTCTTATGTTTTAAGAATTTTGAACATTTGACTGTTTTTTTCCCAGTTGCTCACAAAAACAATGACAAATGCTTTGATTATCTACCAGGACTATGCCAGATGCATTCCCATATCTTCCCCAAAGGCTGTTCCTGAGGATGAAGGGAATCTGTGGGAAGCTACACAATGGAACATATGGTTGCAACAGACAAAGAAACTGTGAGGAATTCTATCTATGAAGTATTAGTAGAAGTACCCAATGTTTAGATTCTGCTATAGAATACATTTCATTATTTTGATACATTATGTACTATTTTGTACACTTCTGTGCAACATGGAGGGGTTTTAAAAGTTCATTTTTAAATAGAGAAAGCTCCAGTGGTAAATGAAAAACTCCAATAGCATTGTTTAAATATGATATATTCCACTTCAAGAGGGTAATATTCATAGTATTTTTTTAATAAAAAAAAACTTTACCTAAGAAATACATTTTTCTCATAATTTATTTTGCTGTAAAACAATATCATTCAACTACTTCTAACATACTTCATAAGCTATATGAAGATAAACTGCCTGAAAGCAGCACATTTTAAGTAACTCATGAGCCCTGCCCTAGTTGCAAGCAAGTTCCCCTAGGGAATCTGCACAGATTCACAATATACACTCAGGATTTTGATTTCCAGATTTAAAGTCAAAGTGCTAGATGAATGTTCATAACATTTTGAATAAGAGCCTAAGTTGAGGACTTGCAAGAGATGAAAGGTAGAGAATAAATCAAATAAAGAAATGTTAGGAAATAGTTTCCAGATATAAACTGTCTGATATGTTCTTCCAGAATGTTTCCCTATGATTCTACCTATATTTACAATATATAAAATCGATTTTGTTCTCAAGTAATAAGAAAGAAAAGAGCAGTCTAGCCCAGTGGTTCTCAACCTTTTTAATGCCGCAACCCCCAACCGGTCGTAAGTCGAGGACTAAACCGGTCGTAAGTCGAGGACTAAACCGGTCGTAAGTCGAGGACTAAACTGGTCGTAAGTCGAGGACTACCCAACCGGTCGTAAGTTGAGGACTTTCCCTGCCCGGGAGCGCCGCGCATGCGTGGTTCCACCCCCTGCGCCGGCTGAGGCGTAGCTGGCAAGCGGCAGAGACGGAGCAGGCCGACCACTAGCTGGCCCAGCCCAAGGGAGGTAAGGCACCCGCCAGAAAAGGAGAAAAAAATGGTGGACAAAAAAAATGGCCAGCAGCCTTGCTTGGCAACCCCCGTGAAATGGTCGATCGACCCCAAATGGGGTCGCGACCCACAGGTTGAGAACCGCTGGTCTAGCCTATACTCCCAGAGTTATC